AAGCAAAAACCTTTCTGCCTTTGTGCGCGCGTTGGGGCCGTTTTCCGGAAATAGGCAGACGGTTGCTTCGTGTTTTACTCCGAACTGTCAGCTCTCCGCGATGTGCCAGGGGCCATTTGCGTGCCAGGCGGGCCTGAAGCGAATGTGGCACCCACCAAGGGGACTGGGACCTTGGGAGGAAAAGATTGCAACCTCATTTTGGCAGGCAACCAGGGCTGGAAGCACAGAAATCCCAAAACCATTTGGGCAGTAGAGGCAATGTGGTCCACTTCCCACTTTTCGGGATTCAGGGTATGCTTCTAAATGTTGAGCGTTATGAGCAGGCTCTTCGGCATGTGGGCTTTGATAAGGCCGAAGAACAGGCAGGTTGGAGCAGCCAGCAAAAACAACAGTTTTACTTATGCCGTAGCTTGTCTGACGCAGTTGGTTTTGCCAAAGGGCCTTCGTGTCCCGACGGGCTTAAGAAATCCCGCTGGACTGCAGCCCGTTGAGGTTCCCAAAGAAATGCCAGCCCTTCCGTTGTTGAGGATTCTTGCCGGGACTGGGCGATGTCCAGCTCCTATCAGGACCCTTACGCCTCTTGGATCACATACGTCGACATGGGATTCTACACCGCCCGTAGCCGTGCTGTGTGTTTTGCTTTGTTTCGCGCGGTTCACTTACTCAGTGAGGATCATGAGATTGGCCCGAAAGCTCATGCCGAGAAACGCTCTGTGTGTACTCCCTTCTCAACATGTTTTTGATCTATTGGTGCGGACGACAGAGATGGTTTAGCCCAAAACTGGAGACTGATGGCAGATTTGGCCCTCGGATTTAAATCCTTTTGCTGCTACGGAGCTGCCAACGCATATCAGTGAAAGCCAATGACATTCAAGTTTTACGCTAGTAAGATTTGGTTGTCCCGTTTAAACTACTCAAATATTAGATGCTTGAGGATGTGCTATCCTGCTTGACCCAACTCCGATCTGATTGGCTCCGCAACCTTTGAGTATTTAAATGCCGGTTGGCCGTTGGATGGCAGGTGGGCCTGAAATCTGGAAGTCTCGGTGGATCCCAGCCTTCGCCATGTTCGTTTGGTCTTTGAAAGCTGGGTCCCTTTCTATGCAGGGAAAGGGGATCACTGGGAGTGCCTTGAGTTCATTAGTTTTCGATGATAGCTCTAGTTTGCAGCCGTGCATTTGGACAAATGTCAGCGAGATCACTCGGGGTTGAGACAAGCATTGCTGCAAGCACCCGTCATGAAGCCTTAGAGATCCCATTTCCAGTTGACCTGCCAGATCCACCCCATTATGCTCTAGCCAGTTGAAGAACTTGTTGGGGCATAGGCTCATGTCATCTTCCATCCCTCCTGGCCCGTAAAGCAAAGCTCGGGCACATCCATCTACAAAAGCAAACACGGGAACTTGATCTGTCCCATCCCTTTCATTTTGCTTCGGGTAGGCTTCCCTTCAAGATCAACTTTCAAACACAAGCAGCACGGGTGCGCTGCCTCATGCCTCGCCGGGCATTCTGGCGAGCTCGCAGGTCTGCCAGAACGTCTACACCAGGCACTGCGCGGCACCCTCCGGGACCCGCTGCTGGGAGGGCGAAGTCTTGTGCAGGCGGACGAGTCGTGCGCGTACGCGAGCGAATCGCAGACGTTGCCCAGCCGAAATTTTGCGCGGGCTACAACAGTTGCTTTTTGTGTTTTGGGGTGTGTTTTTTTTTTTTGGATCCTGGGTATATTTTTCCTGGAATCCATTGTTGAAATCTCGTTCTCTTTTTAAGGGATGATTGGGGGGCCTTAACCCCCACGTGACCCTGAGGGCTGAGGATCTTTACGGCGCCCCTCACGGCCAGTTTCCTTTGGGTTCAGAGGGGCCGCCATCCTTCCCACCCCGCTCCCGCCTCCGGTCCGCCAGCGGGCAGGCAGCACAACAACTCACTCAGCTGCCCGAATGCGTGCAGCTCATATGCGCCCGGCGCTGACAGGCTGGAACGTGTGTCTTCTTGTTCTGGTGCTTTGGTGGTGTATTTTCTTTTCAGTCTCTTTACCTTCGATGGTTTTGTGAAAGCTTCGGAATTGGATCGTGCTTTGGCATGTAAGTCTCAAGGGCGCGCAATGTCCTTGCGGGAATCCCCGGATCAGCAATTTCTCAATCTGAAGTTCCCATCGTATTTCACCGGCTTATCAGGCGCAACACATGTGCGCAACCTGCGTCAGCATGTGCCATCAGGAGCGTTGAGTCTCACCCCGTCCAAGCACACATGAGGCCTTGACCTCTTGCAAATGCCACAGGATCCGGAGTTGAACGGAATCGACCCTTTGATTTGGTTCAGGTTTCCTGGGGATGTTTCATCATTGACTCATGGCTCGTGGTGCCTTCCTTGGCTTTTTGTTTCTCGGACTAGGAATGGAAGAACTAGATTGGCGAGTCTGAGACCCTCGACCGCATCAAAAACATGTTCGCTCTGCGCATCAAAGGGTGAACAGGGACGGCAATTCCGCCAGGACTTTGGAGCCCTAGAAATTGGGGGGGGTGCCCTAAAAGGAGTTGCCTCGAAACATGGATATTTTTTGGGTGGGGCTCAGTCTCATGTCGACTGCCACTGAGCGTCTCGCCAGCTTCGGTGCCGGCTCGCCAGGTTTTCTGCTTGGGCATGGGGCTGAGATGGAAATCGCTCCATGGGTGAGCCCCGGGTGCATCGTGTCAAAGGAAAGACCACTCAACCGCCAAACGGCAAAGTGCGGATTGCTTTGGCGGTGCTTAGGCTTGTGAGTGGATTGTGTGCTGGATGTGCGGGCATGGCTGGGGGGAGGAGGGAGTTATGAGAGGGCACCGGGTATTCATGTTGGTTTGTGGCTCAGGTGTGTTATCAGAGCATCGACAACACGAGCGGGCGTTGTGAGCCGGCGGACGGCGCTGATACTTGCACAGGGGTGAAATGTCACCCGGTCCCATATTGAGCATTGGGGCGCTCCAAGAGAACCCCTACAAAGCGAAACGCGGAGAGGGCCCCGTCAAATACCCAAGATTGAGGATTTTACGCTGCAGCAAGGGGATTTCCCGGAGAAAAGCGTTCAATGATTGCTTTCCTCTGGCGTTTTTCCTTTTTGCGGCACATGTTTACTTTGAACTCGGATTCTTGGAGATGATGTGGGGCCCATGAGACCCCTTTCGAGGGAATCCTCCCCTTTTGGGCCGTAGTAATCTGCAGCTCGCTCGATTTGGGGCACTGGCAAGCCTACGGCTCTGCCCCAAAGGGCAGAGCCAATGGCCAAGTTGCCCCACGAGGGCAAGGATTCAGGAAGTGTGGTCAGGGCTGGTTGGCCAGTTGGGCGCAGCAAAACGCGTCACCAACCGCATCTCAGGGCCGGTGCCACTCACGGTGCGCATATCCTCAGGCGTGCCTAGTGCAGCGATTTGAGTCAACACAGGCAGGCCCCTCACCCGCCTCACCCCCACAGATCCTGACAGTCGCGTGCTGCCGAAGGCAGCCCTCTCTAGCTTGAGTCGCTTGGGGGCTCGCAACCAGTGCTCGGCTGCCAGAGCCGTGACGCTTCTGCGCAATTGTCGCAACGGTGGTAAAACGAGCTTGTCCATCATGAAGGTCCTTTCATTACTTGGACCAGTTGTTCAGTGGCACCCGCTAAATCCCTCTTTGTTTGGCAGGTTCACTATGCAAAAATGCCGAGCACCTGGGCCCCTTTGTCTACCTTTCGGATCACTGCAGGGAAACCATGTTTCTCACAGTTTTGTTTGGGTGGGGCGGTGAAGGATTCTAGGGGTGATGTTGTTAAAATCATTGTTCGGCAAATCCTGAGGCAACTACCTTAGAAACCTCTGCGCCCTAAGGACTATGATCAACATGGCGTGTGGCCTCACTTGGCCCACTCGCTTTCCGGTGGCTTGTTCAAATTCAGTACTTGCTCCGAATCCTAATTCTAGATGCCAGGGATTTCCCTTAATGTCTACGGATTTTGGATTCGAGCTGCCCCTTTGAGCAACCCCAGTTTGAGGAGCTTTGAGGCGCCTCGGTTCTGGCAGGCAAGAATCCGCGTGCAAGCGGAGTTGGGAGAAAGATCTCTTGGGGCGACTTGAAGCAAGCACTCAGCTGGCAGCATAGAGCATAGGTTGCCCTTGGTTGATTTGGTTTAAAACATGGGCCTACATGGTGGACTCCTACGGCACTCGATGCGATACGCTTCATGTTCTTTTGATTTGAATTGATTCAACTTGCTTGGGCTTGAAACTGTCTCGGAGCGAAGCGGTGCGATTCACTGCCACTATTGCTTCTCGTTGCGATGAGGTTCGGTTTTTCTCGCTGGGCCTTGAGCAGGCAAGAGCGCCCAGCAAGAATTGAACCTTGAGCCTCTGGCAAGCAAAGAGTACGGTCTCCTAGCATGAAAAATATTACTTATTTGAGACCAAGACAGCAGCCCGGCAAAGACCACTCAGAATTTCACCCCGCTCGTTTTGGGCTGCCTTTGTCTGGTGTGACCGAAATGGCGCGGAGCAAGAAAGAAGGAGCAAAGGAGCCAGGAAGAAGGAGAAAGCAATAAAGAAAGTATCGATTTCCTTGGTTTTCCAGAACTTTGGTTCGTTTCGGTGCGATACGCTTCCGCCGCTGTCGGTTCGATTCGGCACTGTAACGGCTCGATACGGTTCTCGGTCGTCACATTGAATGAAACGACCATGATAGAGGCTTTCATTTCTTGAAACCCGGGCCTTGCCATTGTGATTTGTCCGTTGGAAAGGTCACGACGCCTCCAACAAAAGTCGCATCCAGCTTGGGGAAGCCTCAAGCAGTTTGATGGACGATGCTGTGGGGGCGCAGCTCCTTTTTTTTGTGGCTCCCAGCCATCCCCTTAGCTTTTTAGCCGTTGGTTTTTAGTGGTAGTTTCCATTTTACCAACTAGAAGTTGGTCACTTTTAGCGGGAGATCTGAGGGCAGCCCAGTTTGTTTGTGGCGGGGGGACGGGGGTCCTTCCAAGAGTCGCCGGAGGGTTCAGCTCGCAGGACAAGACCTCCGAAAGCCCTGCAGGCGGGAGGGCCTCAGTTTTCACCCGGGGCCAAAGCCAGAGCCTTTTACCCTGGGTGCTCCATACGTGTTTTGCCCCAACTGCAAAAACCAGCAGGGGATGGGTCATTGCTAATCTGGCTAGTTGTGCAGACTTGCGAGCGGTCCGACACGTCCAGACTACACAGATTGCTTGAACATGTCGGTTTTCCTTACTTCAGGTTATCAGTGTCATTGAAGCTTACCCAAATGTCAGAAACTCTTCCGAAAGAGCTGAACCATTCGAGCCCCATTTGCCGGGCGAATTTACCTCGGGGTACGACCTCACCCTAGGCGCACCGGGATCTTGGGATTTGTTTCACGTTTGCCTGTAGACGGCAGGAGCCGATCTAAACTGAAACCGGGAAGAGGGGGCCAGTAGGACCGCCCTCTACCACGGAATCAGATGGGGCGGAAGGGCACAGCGCGCAGAGCTTGGTCGCAATGTACGTGACTTTCTCCACCGATACCTAAGAAGGCCCACCCCGGAAATCTTGTCAGGCTCCTCGCCTGCAGAACCTGAGCCGGACACGCAGGCACAGATCCGGGGACTTCTTTCAAAATCATCCACTAAAACACCCGGTGTGTTTGGCGTGTTCTTCCTTTGCCACCGGCAAGTCTAGGTATGGAGCAGAGTTGTCGCTTGTGAGATTGCTTGAATAATGACTAAGCCTCTTGTTCGGCCCTTGATGACCCTTTTGCTTGAACTTCAAGCTTGAATGGAGCAGGATCGGCTTGTATAAGTGCAGGCATTTGTGACCTGCAGCGCCCTGCTGCGATTCTTGCAGCACTCATGACGGAGGCTAAAAGGGCCTGACATTTATGGCTGCGTGTTGCCTGGAGATGTTCCAACGCCGTGCGCCGTCCTGGGAACAAACACTTTCAGCGCAAGGGATTTGTGGCAGCGAACTTTGAAGGCATACATCTATGTACACATAGAAGCATCCCTGGCGTTCTCTAGCGCGTCAATTGTCATTGCCCCAAAGGAAACCAAAAGGGATGCTTTTGTTTGCCGCACTATGCAACCCCCAGTTTTGTGAAGAATTGCCACGTGACGATGTTTGAACATTTCGATTGGCGACTACGCTTCTCGGTCCTCGCTTCGGATCCGATTTCCTTATTGTTTTTGGCATACTTCCCCCGCAGATAATCAGAAAACTTGGTTGGTGCTTTGGATTGGCGGTTTGGGGAGTTGAATCCATGGTTCTTGTAAACGGGAAACCCCTCCTTAATTAACCGCGAAACCACCAATCAGGGGGAAGCTGAGATCAACCCATCAAGGCGCCGGCGCGGGAGCCGGAGGCTGAAGAGAGGCGCCTTGACCCGCGAATCCGCAAGGGGATAGATCGATGATGGAGCAAGGTTACGGCTTTTTTTTCAGTTTTGCTTAGACCTATTCGCACCCTTGGCGGAAAGTGAAAGCCTGATCGCAGGGATGGCCAGTTTGGCTGACTGGCCTAGAGCAGGATCAAGTAGTGGCGTCCCTTCAGTCCCGCAGACGAATTGGTTTTGTCCGGTGTTCAGATTGCCAGCGATGGCATCGCATACTTGTCGCATGTATCCGCAGGCCGCGTCGGGGGCGATGGGCCAGACATCGAGAGGTCTGCGGCTAAGAGGTCGGATTGAAGCGGCTGGCAGAGGTGCTTGGACGCCTGGGACCAAATCGATAAATGGCTGGGGGTCAAAACCACTGGTACCAGTTTGGGGTAGGTGCACCACCCATTTTAGTCTATTTTAGTGGGGATTGCGATGTTCACTGGGGGTACGGGCTTTTGACCCATGGCCCACGGCCAAATATCGATCTTGTTTAAACTCTTTTGGATTTAAAGGTTGACATGGTTGACTAAATGTGGACCAGAATCCTTGGTTGTGCGCATTCCCCAACTTGGCGAACTATCTTTGGCTGAGACAACACCAGGCGCCAAAGGTTTCTTTCCAGTCCCCAACGGCATACTCTGCTGTTTGAGTCCGGCGTTGGCCGGGCGGCCGGCCGGCAAAACCAAGAAGTTGCCACATGTGTCATATGATTTGTTCAACGGTCAAGATGCCGGTGTTTGCATCAGTGGCAACAAAGGCGGCATGGGCAAGCCATGTGCAAAGGAGGAAACTGTTGTACGTGAGTAGGGTATTGTTGGCATTGTTGTGTGAGAATGAACTGTTGGGTCGAGATCGCTACGCCCGTTTAGTCTGATGCCTGATGCCGCTTTTGATGAAGTGACATTGTGTGTCTGTATTTGTTTTCGATGGATTGAACTTGCCAGGGCCGTCATTTTGTGGGTATGGGCTTTGGTTACTTCCTTTGGTTTGAGAGCCATGCTTTCCAGACAATATTATATATATATTGCACCTTTGCAGTGCCAACAAGATGGCGCTGTGCTCGCCAGGGAATTCAACATGCGCCGCAGCAGAATTTCCAGGGGTATGTGACTCATACCTGGGCTGTGCTTTGTCGTGGTTGGTCTCAAAGGCCGGGCAAAGCACGGCTTTCAACGGCAATGCCGTGTACTGCATCTGCAAATTCGCACGGAAGCAACAAAGCACGATTTCGTAGGGCATTCTCCTTCTGAGGGACAGTCTTTAGTTTTCAGGTTCATGCGCGGCTTAGGGGATTAATTGCACGTGCAGCGGTGGGGTATGTCAAACTGCAAAAGCCGCAATGTCCCATCATGCAACATCACATCTTCTTGCCGTAGAGCCGCCACATCATATCAAAATAGTGTGAAGTACGCGAGCAATCTACAAAACAGGGCTGAAATATTCACAACTCAACAGCTATAATGATGTGATTGGAAGCTAACGTGCGCACGGCAGGGACCTCAGCGCAGACAGTGGGTATGACAGTCGCGCTGCTGGATTTACTGGACATAGTCAAGGTTTGCCTTTTCGTTTCTGTTTGCTCGGCCTAAAAAACGGCTGCGCGAAGGGAGGCCCCTCGAGCAACATTTGGCAGCCAAGAGGCGGCATATTTATTCATTTTTGGGCAGCTGTGCTTAGACCTGTCACATTCGTTTGCGGGTGCCGGAGCCTTTGACGTTTCAGAATCTGTCACATGTATGAAGCCCGTCGATTGCATTGTAGGGTAGGCTGAAATGAGGCTCACATCAGTTCATACTATTTGTGCACGTGCTAAGCGTTCAGCACCAAACAAACGGCCAGCAAAATGCAGATATTCTTGTGTGTATAATGTGTACTGTGTAATTGTATGTCTCTATATGTACATCTATATGCATGCACTATATAATCCTAAGCGCTCATAACCGAACACACGTTTCTTCTTTGAGGTGTGACCCGGTGATGTACACGGCTCGCCCCGTGCTGGAGCACGTCTTGAGCAGCATCAAAGCGGACTTGGCGGCGACAGCATGTGCAACACATGCCCGCAGCGGTCCACTTCCTCGCCTGTACGGCCCCATAGGAGACATTGTGTACAGACAGGTGGCCATCCAAGAAGGCACTTGGGCTCTCAAAAACACGACTTGCATCGCAGAAAATTGGCTGGTGTTTTGGTTTGTCTTGTCCCAAGTCCCCCGCCAAAAGGCCCACCCACTTTGTCCCATCGCTCGGGGGCCTTCGAAGGGGGAGACTCTTGGAGCGACCCGCGTGTACAGTGGCACCCCGCTGTCCAAAGGAACTGCTGCCTGTAAGATGGAACCCAAGAGGCGGGTCCCCTGAAAGGAGGCTTGTTTTTGAAAAGAGGGTTCTTTTAGTCTGCAGGGGCGGGACTTCGCATTAATGCGGCGGACCCTGATCAATTGAGAAGGGAACCACCGTGGTGGTCCTTTGCTGATTTTTGTCCAGCTTGTGATCGATTTCCCACACTCGATTCTCGAACACGATGCCAGGAACAGGGACCTGGGCTTTACAACGTGCTCTTTTGCTTGTTCTTTTTGGGCCTAAACTCTGAGCATGGATGCCACAGATTTGGAGTGGTATCAACTGTGTGCAATTGTGTGAACTGTGCGTGGTGTGGATGCCAAGTCTCAAGTGTCATCAAGTGTCAGATGCCAAAGCCCATGCGCCCACCCGGCTGAAAGGGGATCCCTCCCTCCCTTCCGGATGACTTTCTTTCGGTGGGCATTACCCCTGTTCGTGGTTGCGAACGCAGACATGTGTCTTTTTGAGGCCACCCTTGTTGGCTTTTTTTTCCAGAGAAACCAAGTGGAACCCAACCATGCGGGACGTTCCTCCAGTTTGAGACAACCCCAACGGTGTGTGTCTTTTTCGGGTGTCTCAAGCAGTTTCCGCTTGAAGCCAACCCCAAAAAAAAGCCGCGAGACACGCCCAAATCTCCCTTTCGCAGGCCCTGCACGCGAGCGCCGGGCGGCTTCCGCCCGGCACTCAACCCGAAAGTGGATGCGCAGTGCCAGCACACGGCGATCCCCAGTGGCCAGTGGATGGAAATTGTCCAATTTTAATAGTACATCAATGAGAATAAGTTTTTTGATCCCTATCTTTTCCCGAAAGCATCGCGAAGGGTTCTTCCGTGCGGAGCCCTTGGACAAGTTACACAGAGCCAAGTTGCACAGAGCCAAGTTGCACAGAGCCAAGTTACATAGAGCCAAGTTACATAGAGCCAAGTTACATAGAGCCAAGTTACATAGAGCCAAGTTACATAGAGCCAAGTTACATAGAGCCAAGTTACATAGAGCCAAGTTACATAGAGCCAAGTTACATAGAGCCAAGTTACATAGAGCCAAGTTACATAGAGCCAAGTTACATAGAGCCAAGTTACATAGAGCCAAGTTATAGAGCCAAGTTTAGAGCCATAGAGCCAAGTTACATAGAGCCAAGTTACATAGAGCCAAGTTACATAGAGCCAAGTTACATAGAGCCAAGTTACATAGAGCCAAGTTACATAGAGCCAAGTTACATAGAGCCAAGTTACATAGAGCCAAGTTACATAGAGCCAAGTTACATAGAGCCAAGTTACATAGAGCCAAGTTACATAGAGCCAAGTTACATAGAGCCAAGTTACATAGAGCCAAGTTACATAGAGCCAAGTTACATAGAGCCAAGTTACATAGAGCCAAGTTACATAGAGCCAAGTTTAGAGCCAAGTGGCACAGAGCCAAGTTACATAGAGCCAAGTTACATAGAGCCACAGAGCCAAGGTTAGGTAGAGCTTGCGTAGAGCTTCGGCGTAAGCAGCTATGTAAGTTAGTTTAGGTTTCTAAGGCGCCGGGGCGGGAGTTTGATCGTCGCTCGAGATTGCGACCCTCTGCGGAGATTCGCGTGGTCGAGGTCAAAAAAAATGAGGACTTTTTACGATTTCTGCGGTGCGCGCGCGACCCTCTGCGGAGATTCGCGTGGTCGAGGTTCAAAAACTGAGGACTTTTTACGATTTCTGCGGTGCGCGCGCGGCCCTCTGCGGAGATTCGCGTGGTCGAGGTTCAAAAACTGAGGACTTTTTACTATTTCTGCGGTGCGCGCGACCCTCTGCGGAGATTCGCGTGGTCGAGGTTCAAAAAAATGAGGACTTTTACGATTTCTGCCGGCCGCGCACGACCCTCTGCTGATTCGCGTGGTCGGGGTTCAAAAACTGAGGACTTGTTTACGATTTCTGCGGTCCGCGCGCGACCCTCTGCTCAGATCGTGCGCGTCGAAGCGCTCTCGCTGTGGCGCCGTGCGAATTTGTCTTAGTCTCGACGAACTCTCTGCGGAGATTGTGCACGTCGAAGCGCTCTCGCTGTGGCGCCGTGCAATTTTCTTGCTCGCGAAACGGCCTTTGGAAGTTGGCTCGTGGTTTGCGCGCCTGCTTTCGCAATCCCGTGGTCGCGGGTTCGATTCCCCCCTAATCCGCGGCAGCTCCGGCTTGAAAATCGCAGCTTTTAAGTACAAACGTAGTACGCGGCTGGAAAATCGCAACTTTAAGTACAGACGTAGTATGCGGAGCGTGCTCCCGGAAAATCGCAACTTTTAAGTACAACGTAGTACGCGGACCGTACTCCTGCAGCTCCGGCTGGAAAATCGCAACTTTTAAGTACAGACGTAGTATGCGGAGCGTGCTCCCGCAGCTCAGGCTGGAAAATCGCAACTTTTCAGTACAAACGTAGTGCGCGGAGCACACCCCCGCAGCTCCGGCTGGAAAATCGCAACTTTTAAGTACAAAAATAGTACGCGAAGTACATTCCCACAGCTCCGGCAGCACTTGCGCAGAGCAACTTGCGCAGAGTCACTTGCGCAGAGCAACTTGCGCAGAGCAACTTGCACAGAGCAATTGCACAAAGCACTTGCGCAGAGCAACTTGCACAGACCAACTTGCACAGAGCACATGCGCAAAGCGCTTGCACGGAGCAACTGGCGCAGAGCACTTGCGCAGAGCAACTTGCTCAGAGCACTTGCGCAGAGCAACTTGCACAGAGCACATGCGCAAAGCTCTTGCACGGAGCAACTGGCGCAGAGCAACTTGCACAGACCAACTTGCACAGAGCACATGCGCAAAGCGCTTGCGCGGAGCAACTGGCGCAGAGCACTTGCGCAGAGCAACTTGCTCAGAGCACTTGCGCAGAGCAACTTGCACCGTGCAGCAGCGTGCAGCAGCTTGCAGAGAGCAACTTGCGCGCAGCAGCCTGGAACAATGCAGCTTGCGCAGACCACTTTCGTGAGAAATCGCGCGGCGCAGTTCGAGAGGAAAGTAGGATGATGAGATGGAGCATGATGGAGCTCTCATGTGACCATACACACTGAGCATCGCCGCGCGCAGACACGCTCGCCGCAGCGATGTAAAAAGGTGTCTCCGCGGCTGGATGAGCGCCTGTGGAAAAATGCTTTCGGGCCAATCGTCCTCTAGTTTCTTTTTTACTGATCTTCCCAAGACCGGAGTTGGCTTAAAACTGCTCTTATTTTGTTTGCGGGCTGCACACGGTGACTCGTCAGGTGACAGCGTGTCAGTGACACGCAGTGGCATGCATAGTGAGACACATGGATGTGTATGGACTTGTGTCACCTGTGTGTCACCTGCGTGTCGGGCCTTGAGAAGGGGTAGGGATATACGCTTGGGTGTTCGTGTGGGAAACAATGGTCGTGTCGGGAAACTACTGCCTTTTGCTGTTTGCGGGACAACTGCCAAATGGACGGTAGTCGCGAAAATAAAATGAAAACGGTAGTCGGAGGGTGTTGGTAAAGACTGTAATCGGTTGTAAAAACGCCGCAGACAGTATACCTGACTTTTAAGTGGCGGACATGTGTTGAAATCGAGATGCGTGACATAGGACATGTGTCACGTTGCTGAGGGAATATGGGCATTGTCCCGTGGTTCAAGCAACAGGCGACAAGTTGTCGCACAAAGGTCACATGGCTCCCAAAGTTGCTTGCAAGCTGAGGGCACGTTTAACCCAGTGCAATGTACTCAACCATTCAGTTGCATCGCGGGCAAATGCCTGTGTTCATGTTGTTTCTAGTTTGTGAATCGCGTTTCAACCATGATAAGATTACTTGCAGGAACCAAGCCCTTGCAACTACATTGACTTTCTAATCATTCATGTAGACTGCTCGCATGCAACGTGCTATATCCAGCAAGCAGTTTCGCTGAAAAGTGGGCTTGTGGCTTGGTACTGTGCATTTAGTGGGTTTTTAAATGAACACTTTGATGGGTGTTCAGCACACTTTTTGGTTCGTGTTCCCTTGAAACTGCCATTCAAGGGGTAGTTGCGCGGATGTCGCTTTACTGGACTCAGCGCTTCCAGGCCTGACATCACTGAGCAGGGAGGCCGAGATTTCAGAAGGGTGATGTAGAACTTGATGTTTTGTTTTTCTCATGGGCCAATGTTCGACCAGGCAACCGCTTGGATGGCGACTGGAGATGTTGTTTTTCGCCGCGGCTGGGGTCCGTGTTAGGCAAAATGGCTGGCTGCGCGGGGAGGTTTGTATATTCAATGAATGAGGCTTCTTTGCGAGCCCTGCGAAGCCTCGAGTCATAGCAGGTCATCTAGCAATTCAAGCATCACCAGCCGCCTTAGAAGTGGATCTTGTGTCGCATTCGGCCCCCTGAAAATCCTGTGTTTGTTCTAGGGCTTTCTTGACGTGAAAGATTAGGTCGCTACCCTTGCCCTGTAAGGTAGGGTTGAGAATGTGGAAGTGTACGTTTGCCAATGGTCTTTTCAGACGTGTTCCCATGCGGTGAAAACGCAGTGTGCGAAGGGGCAAGAACCATCAGAAACCGCTGCAGATGGGTGTGCTTGTGCCGAGTACGGTGGCTTGATCCATGAGTGTGATACAGCAGACATCCTTGTTCACCAAGGTCTTGGGCAGGGGGTGCCTTTGTGCTTTCTTGGGTCATACCAATATCCTTCCATAGAACTCACAAGTTTCCACTTTAGCATGGAGCATTGTTTTGTTGTGATACTGTGGATGGACGAATTCCATTTTCGGATCACCTAAGAAAACCTGAAATGACGATTCCATGTAAATACCAGCAATGGAAGGAGATCTTTGTGAGCTGCAAACTGCGAATTGTCCTACATTCTTCCCCAGAATTAGCCCCTTCTTCATTTTTTTGCTTTTTTGGGGTCCCCTTTGTTTTGTACTAACCAGGCAAAACCAAATATTGCTGGGGGTCCCAATTCCAGCCAAGCATTCAATGTTGCTCCATTCGTCTCACAAGGCTTCCGGTGGAAGACTCGGAGGACGAGTGGGGTTTGGCAGACAGAACGGCCCGGAGCGACTTGCAGGCAACGCCTGGATGGGGGGAGGAGAAGCTTGGGGAATTCGAGACGTTTCGAAAGGATTTTGGAGGGATGTTAGGGGCATTCGCTCTTTTTTTTGGTGGGGGGGGAGGGTGTTAATGTACATGTTTTTGGTGGGCGGCTTTGGGGGCGGCTTTGGGGGCGGCTTCCAGGCGGCATGGGTCAAGCTTAAGAAAGGCAAAGGCGGTGCTGGAAGGGCGAGTTGGCAAGTCTGCGGCGCCTGTTGTTTCGTCCCGTGGCACGACGCACGACATCGACCTCCTGAGCTGTGGCATGGATGACTTGGCATGGCGTTGTTCAGTTGCTTGGTCGGGCTCCAGCGGGGCAGAGAGAGGGTAGTGGAGTCTACAGGTGATCTGAATGCGAAGCAAATGGCCATTGCACAAGTTTTGGCGGGGGCATCAACTTTCAGCAGTTTGGGCACCGAAACCGAAACCCGTTGATCCCCTCACCGTTTCTAGTCGGGGCACTTTCCGCACGTCCACGCCTTGCGGTCCGAAAGTCGCCTCTCGCGATGACGGGAACGGTGGGAGCGCCCCCCGGTCTTTCCTCCCCTGGGCCTAGCCCAAGCAACGGCGCAAATGCTGAGATGGACGCCAGACAAATCTCAGCCAAGATTGCACAGCAGGTGCAGACCCTGTTGCAGCAGCTTGATGGCAGCAAAGGCTTTGTGCTGGTTTTCTTTGCTGATGTGTTTGTTTTGTTGTCTCTCTCTCTCTCTCTCTCTCTCTCTCCGTCTCTTTAATTATTTATGTGTTTTTCTTTCCTGATTCATTTCTTGTGTTTTATAGTTATCGTTTTTCTTTTTTTTTCTCTCCCTCGCTCTCCCTGTTATCCTTCTTGCCTTTCTTTCTTTCTTTCTTTCCTTCCTTCCTTCCTTCTTTCTTTCTTTTCTTTCTTTCTTTCTTTCTTTCTTTCTGATTTCCGTTCTTTATTTCTCTCTTTGTTTCTTTCTTTCTCCCTTTCTCTCATTCTTGAATTCTTTCCAGTCGCAAGTTCGCGGCGTGAACTCGCGAACTCGAGGCAAGCCAGAGTCTCTTCCGAGCAGAAGGTTACAGCGGAGCTGAAGCTCTTGCACAACGCCGCCTGATGCATCGGCTCGAAGCTTCGAATAAGCGAAGCCACAGGGACCCGGTTGCTAGGTCCCTCAGCTAGGTGTCCTTTCTCACCCGTTTCTTTTTTGGTTGGGAGGGTTCTCCTACTAAAATTGAAAAGGGTACCCTTTCTCTCTCGAATGCATCGCGTCTGGGCGCGTCGCGAAAAACCAACAACATGCAAAATGCAACCAAATTTATCCATGGAAGTGCGGCTGAACCTCAGGCTCAGCGTCGCAATCCATGGCATGGCAAGAGCCTGAATCTCAGCCGGGGCATCTAGCAACAACTCAGAGTTCTGCTCTTGTCGCCTGCTCAACACCTTGGCATGCGCAAAAAGGGCAGACCCAAACAACGCGCTCAGACCAGGGGGTTGAGGGCTTGCAACCGCAGTGACAAAGGATCCCGCAGACTCAAGGCCAACCAGCTTCCTATGCGCACCATGTCCATGACAACACCGACCCGAATCGCCAGCCATCAAGATAGTGTCCACCATGCCTGGCAGTCTACCAACCAGCAAAGTGGTTGGTTTGCGCAACTCGCTGCCCCACAAACACTGGTCGGTCGAAGCAACACGCACACAGCGGAGGCGAGTCAGCGCCCGAACCACCCGAAGCCCCCAGAGAGACGCAGTCCACGATCACAGCTGCTCCCACCGCCAACAACCACCAAGCCATCGTCAGAGCGAACCTGAGCGACTCATTTTCAGCATCAACCTGGCTCCATTGACGTCTTGACAAGCCCTTGAGCCCCCACACAGCCTTGAAAGACCGAAGCGGGGAAAAAGCAACAGAGTCAGGGATGTGCCTGGCCGCACCTGCATCTTCATTTGAGCAAAAAAAAGAAGAAGTGCGCACAACGAAAAAGTGCGCGTTTCAATCAAAAAACGCTCAAAGTTCCAAGAACTGCGCGAGGCGTTTTTTGCTGGTTTGGTCAAAGGTGCGGGGTGTGTATAGCCTGGACATGCACCTGTCAAGCTGTTCAAAAATCACTAGGCAAGGATACATGCGCCTTTTCGGCCAGAACTCGCCTAGATGATCCAAGGAACCAAGGGGCATTTTGGCTATTGACCTAGGGAGCGTTGTCGGGAATAGCCTTCAACATTGCCACGCCAGCTTGACAGTCAAGGGAAACAAGTTTCAGATCATTGAGATTGCAAGAGGTCCGAACGGCTCTTCCAAGTGGCGCAGCTTCAACTGACGACCACATGTGGCTCAAAACAGGTCTTTTGGTTGGCAATTCGGGCGCTTTAGACATCTTCTGCCTAATTAAAAGGTCGAAAACGCGCGCATGCATGTGCACACTTTTCGTATTTGCGCGCAATTGCGGATATTTGCGCGATAGTACCGGATTTTTGCGCGCAAATTGCGGGCTGGCAAGGCGCCGAAAATCGACTAATTTCACCTACAGCGAGTTGTCTCAACAACAAGTGTGGCGCAAGCACAGTCCTGGAGCAAGCGGCGGATCCGTGCAAACCAAGGCAATTCTTGCGAGCTTGGAGCTATTGACGGAGCCAAGCGGGTTGCTAAATCAATGGCCACAAAGTGTCAAGTGCAAGTGATAGCTGGTACTTGTGCCGGGTGCCATGTGTGCTACAAATTTCCTGCCTAAAACAGGCTTGGGCGGAGACAAAAGAAGAGCTAGATATGCTGCAAACATCAAGGACTTCAACAAACAGCTGCGCCGGCACGGGCACGAGCAGCGCAGCATCAATTGTTTCCACAAGTAGTACCGACTTTGGCTAGTTTCATCCGAAAAGTGCGCAAATCCCTCAAAAGTTCGCAAATTCCAAAAAAGCGAGCAAAGACCGCAAAACGCGCAAACAAGCATTTGAGCAGAAAAAAAGTGCGCAAACGAAGATTTAGGCACTCCAAGTTTTGCTGGGGAGGATTAAAGAGTGCCCCCAAATTACGCCCTGTCTTGCCCACCCCCCCCCCATTTGCGCACTTGCTTGGCACACACGAGGTCCGACAAGTCAACAGTGGGTGAAAAGATCTCAACTCCTTCAGACAAGACGTGATTAGACTGGACATCCCCTTCCTACAACCAGCACAGACGTGCACAATCATGCCATTTCGCCTCCGGATGGCCAAGGAATCAACAGCAAGCCCAGCAGGGTCAAACTGGTTTCAAGCACCACTTTGGTCAAGTCGTCAGTGTCAACCTGCGGGCGTGGGCGGTCTTCAGTTTGGCCTTGTTCGGGACGGTTGGAAAAGGGCACCCTTATTCTAACCTTTCTGCTGGAGGACCTAGGTTGGCTTTCGAATGGCAGCGCCCAAAACCCTGCAATCTTCCGTTCCTGTATCACTACAAACCTATGTCTGCAATGCGCAGGGCCCATGATTGGGCTTTCCTGTGCACCAAAGTGAAGAACCCCCCAAACAAATGCAGCGGATTGGATTTTATGGTGAGATGATATATACCCTTCAAGCAGGTTGGAGAACATGAGCCCCCCTGTATTTATGGTGCGGACAAAAACGGGCCATATCCTGTATGCGCTTGGTGTCATGGTTGCGGGAGAAAAACATTGAACCTGGCAAGGACAAACAACAGAATTTAACCCCTCTCTCATTGGCCCTTGCAAGCTTAATTGGTTTCTGCTTGGCACTAATTAGCCCAGAATCGTCTACTTCCCCAATGTCAAAGGATACCAAAATTGAGTGGGCCTTGGTTGATTTGTTCACACCTGATTCTTTCGAGCCTTTCTTGGTTGCAAGTGACACCTATGGTCACAAGTGACTGCAACCTTCTTTTTTGGGTTTCACCCAGTTCAGAGTGAGTGGTTCGACTGTCCCAGACCCAGTTGACAACCTTTGGTTGGCATCCTTCCGCTAGTGACCCCAATTTCTTGGTCCCAAGCGACCCCAATTATTTCTGGTCGCAAGACTTCCCGACCGTGAGGTGAGTTCTGGGTTGCACAGAGCCGCTAAACAGACCAACTCGCAGAGAGCAACTTGCATAGAAGCAGTTGCCAAGACCAACTTGCACAGAGCCATGGGCACAGAGCTATCAGCACAGAGGATGCAAAGAGCTACTCGTGCAGAGCAACTTGCACAGAGCCATTTGCGGTAAGAATATTTCTTCATTCACATCTGGGGGTGGAGTTATTAGTCATCGCACGGCGTTGTGAGGTCAAACAAGCTGAGGGTCAATGTCAAGAAACTGAGATTGTTTTTACGATTCTGCGGTGCGTGGGCCAGCCCTTTGCAGAGATCGGCGTGGTCGGCATCAAAGCGCTGAGAAGTTGTTTTAAACGATTTCGGGGATCGGCGTGGTCCATGTGAACAAACTGAGGGCATTTTCCGATTTTGCCATTTGCCGACCAACCTTTGCAGGGATGGGCGTTCTCGAGTTCAAAGAGGATTTTTTGCGATTTCCGCGGTGCGCGCGCGACCCTCTGATTGGCGTGGCCGACGTCCAAAAACTGAAGACTGTTTGTGATTCGGGCCAGCCCTCTGCGGTGATCGGCGTTGCCCATGTCAGGAAACTGGGGACTTGTGACGATACCCTTGTTGAATCGCTCTGCTGTGGTCCCGTGCGAATTTTGTTACGAGCTGGTCTTTGGGAGTTCGCGCGTGGTTTGCGCGACTGCTCTTGTAATCGCGCAGCTTTGGCTGCAAATCGGCGCGCCAAGCGGAAACAAAGCAACTTGTTGTGGAACTGTTTGCGCACCCGTGCTCTGCGCGAGTTACGCTGCACCCTGCGCAAATTCTGCGCGCAAGACATTCGTCTTTGCAAGTTGCACGGTGCAATTTGCATCGCGCATGTCTGCAAATTTATGTGTGCAAGAATATTCTGTGCAAGTTGCCTGCGAAATGGCCCTATGCAAGTTGCTCTGCGCAGATAGCTCACTGCACATTGCTCTGCGCAAGTTCCTCTGCGCAAGTGTCGTTGCGCACAGAACCTTCTTTAGCTCAATATATTTCTCTGGGGGCGTTTATCATCGAGGGCTTGACAAAACGTGGTGGCAGCCTGCTTTCGGGCCCACGCTCCTCTAACCTTGGTGTCGCAACTGCTCCCACTTTTTTCCTAAAACTTTACAAGCTGAGGTTATGCAGGAGATGGATCTGCGGCTAGACACCCTGAACAAGCAGCTGGACGAGGTGCCACAGGCCTCCAAGGAGTCTTTGGAGCAAGCGGCGGTGGTGGCAGCGCTGGCCAAGGTGGAACAACAGTGGGGTAAGGAGCGGGCGCGCAGTCCCCTTCCTCCCCCTTGTTTGTTGACTTGCTGGTTTTTGGTTGTTTGTTGTTTGTACGTTTGATCGCTTTGTTTGATTTAAATTGTCCTTGTTTGTTGGGGGTCTTCAATGGTTTGTGTGTTCATTCAGTGGGTGTTTTATTGTCATCGTTTCGCCTTGTCCCTGTCAACCCAAAGCAACCCCAAGCAAGCGTCTATGTCAATGTGGGGTTGACCGGTGGGTTTTGCTCGCTTTGCTTCTGTGCAAATCAAGTTGCGACCTAAGGGCTTGGCGTGCGCCTGCAAACCGGTGATAAAGCTTCATTACTTAGCGCATAGGTAGGTGACCAGTAGTAACTTGCCAAGTTGTTTCGATTGGGGGGTCGCTTTGAATAGTCAACCGAAGAGGGCGCCCATGCTTTCCACAAGATGACTCAGTCAGGCTACACGGTTACACGACGCTTGACCCATGGTGAGTAGACACGACGGAACTCCAAGAGTTTGGTATCACACGGCAAAAACGACGATGCCGCAAACCTGTAAAGTCCATTGTGGCAGAGCCACAAAACCAACCTCGGGGTGGAAGGTTAGTGCGGGACGCTCCCAATCAGGAACAGCTGTGGGCTTCCGCCCTTTTGATTCATTGCTTTGGCCGACTGTTTGAATATTTGGTTTTGATCTTGTGACTGTGTTTGAATGGTTTTGGGTTGACTAATTCAGATGCTTGTGGCTCAATGTTGTCAAGTGAGCCGCGCAGGAGCTTGGGAAGCTGAAGGGAGAGCTCCAGCAGACGATCTTCGCCCACAACCACAACGCCGATTTGCGGCTCGGCGCCGAAAGTCCCTTTGTGGCCACGAAAATTGGCCCAGAGAAGGTCACTCAACAAATCGTTTGATGGCCAGTGGCTGGGATCTGGGCGTTGCGGTGTGTTTGGTTTTGGTTGAAAGCATACACAGGCATAATATGTTTTGGTGCTTCCATTTGTATGATGCGAACGTTGAATGAAGCCACACTGGGATGGATACGTTTAATGCGGTGGCCCTAGAAGTACAAACAATGCCAACAAGCAGACCTTGCTTCTTAAGAAAGGTGTTTGTGTCTAGTGGCCATTGTTAAAAGTGTAATGTTTGGATGGGAGATTATGGGGCACATCGTTGCGCCCGCATCCGGCCTTTGTCACACCCACTCGATTGCTCAGTGACACTCTGTTTCCTTACTATTTGTTAGCTTCCCCACTAAGAAAACGGCGATAAGGCCGTCACCCCTACATGGGATTTCCTGTTTCTACCTTCCTGATCCTTTCAGGTCGCTTTGAGGGTTTCCCAAAGCTCCGCAACGGGAATCTCCTGTTTAGACATATGTCTCGCCTTGGCACTTTCCAGGATGCAAGTTAGAGGGCTTCCCAAGACTCCCCAAGGGGAAATTCCTGTTGGACATATGTCTCGCCTTCGCACTTGCAAGGATGCAAGTCAGAGGGTTTCCCAAAACTCCCCAATGGGAATCTCCTGTTTCGACGTGTCTCGCCTTGGCACTTGCAAGGATGCAAGCCAGAGGGTTTCCCAAAATTTTCTCAAGGGGAGTTTCCGGTTGGACATGTGTCTCGCCTTGGCACTTGCAAGGATGCAAGTTGGAGACTTTAAACATATTATCAAGGGGAATTTTCGGTTGGACACGTGTCTCGCCTTGGCACTCGCAAGGATGCAAGTCAGAGGGTTTCCCAAAATTTCCCAAGGGGAATTTCCGGTTGGACATGTGTCTCGCCTTGGCACTTTCAAGGATGCCAGTTAGAGGGTTTCCCAAGACTCCCCAAGGGGAAATTCCTGTTGGACATATGTCTCGCCTTCGCACTTGCAAGGATGCAAGTCAGAGGGTTTCCCCAAACTCAAGGGGAATTTCCGGTTGGACATGTGTCTCGCCTTGGCACTTGCAAGGATGCAAGTCCCAATACTCCCCAAGGGGAATTTCCGGTTGGACATGTGTCTCGCCTTGGCACTTGCAAGGATGCAAGCCAGAGTGTTTCCCAAAACTTCCGTTGGGGAGTTTCCGGTTGGACATGTGTCTCGCCTTGGCTTGCAAGGATGCAAGTCAGAGACTTTTCCTAAACTTTCTAAGGGGAATTTCCGTTTGGACATGTGTCTCGCCTTGGCACTTGCAAGGATGCAAGTCAGAGGGTTTCCCAAGACTCCCCAAAAGGAAATTCCTGTTGGACATATGTCTCGCCTTCGCACTTGCAAGGATGCAAGTCAGAGGGTTTCCCAAAACTCCCCAATGGGAAATTACTGTTGGACATGTGTCTCACCGTCGCACTTGCAAGGATGCAAGTCAGAGGGTTTCCCAAATTTTTCTCAAGGGAGTTTCCGGTTGGACATGTGTCTCGCCTTGACGCTTGCAAGGATGCAAGTTAGAGACTTTAAACATATTATCAAGGGGAATTTTCGGTTGGACACGTGTCTCGCCTTGGCACTCGCAAGGATGCAAGTCAGAGGGTTTCCCAAAATTTCCCAAGGGGAATTTCCGGTTGGACATGTGTCTCGCCTTGGCACTTTCAAGGATGCAAGTTAGAGGGTTTCCCAAGACTCCCCAAGGGGAAATTCCTGTTGGACATATGTCTCGCCTTCGCACTTGCAAGGATGCAAGTCAGAGGGTTTCCCAAAACTCCCCAAGGGGAAATTCCTGTTGGACATGTGTCTCACCTTCGCACTTGCAAGGATGCAAGTCAGAGGGTTTCCCAAATCTCCCCAATGGGAATCTCCTGTTTCGACGTGTTCGCCTTGGCACTTGCAAGGATGCAGGCCAGAGGGTTTCCCAAAGTTTTCTCAAGGGGAGTTTCCGGTTGGACATGTGTCTCGCCTTGGCGCTTGCAAGGATGCAAGTCAGAGGGTTTCCCAAATTTTCCCAAGGGGAATTTCCGGTTGGACATGTGCCGCCTTGGCACTTGCAAGTCAGAGGGCTTCCCCAAACTCAAGGGGAATTTCCGGTTGGACATGTGTCTCGCCTTGGCACTTGCAAGGATGCAAGTCCCAATACTCCCCAAGGGGAATTTCCGGTTGGACATGTGTCTCGCCTTGGCACTTGCAAGGATGCAAGCCAGAGTGTTTCCCAAAACTTCCTCTGGGGAGTTTCCGGTTGGACATGTGTCTCGCCTTGGCTTGCAAGGATGCAAGTCAGAGACTTTTCCTAAACTTTCTAAGGGGAATTTCCGTTTGGACATGTGTCTCGCCTTGGCACTTGCAAGGATGCAAGTGAGAGACTTTTTCCCAAAACTCCCCAACAATTTTCCTGTTCGCCAAGTCAGCCTTGGCACATCTACCTTTCGGATCCTAGGTCACTTGAGCAGCGTTTTTTTCCTCAGATGATGGACTTTACTTCGTGGGGAACTTCCAAAAAGTCCGCGAAGCCACTTGTGTGATACATTGTTGCTGCGAAGCCCTGCGAAGCCAATTCGCGTAGCCGTAACATTGACACAGGCGAGGCCACTTTGCGAAGCCACTTCGTGGTTGGAGTGTGTTATGTGCTTGCATGGCAGTAGCATGCCAAAGGTTGATGTTGAGAGTCATTTTCAGACGGCTGCCAGAAGGCTGTGACAAGACTACAGGAAGATTACAGTCAGACGGCCGGAAGATTATGGGAAGTCAACCCCGCAAAGCATCTCTTACCGCCTTTCACCTTTCGCATGGACTCAACTTGATTCAGCTACACGAGTGCGCAAACGTCAAAGATGTTTGTGGAACAAGCGTCCGCGAAGCCCGGCGAACCTGAGGGGACAACCTCAAACTCCCCCCAAAACGGGAGATTTTTCCGGTTGGACCTGTTCTCTCAGGATGAAGCACCAGAAGGAGACCCTGGACCGGATCCGCCAGGAGATCGACTCCAGGAGCGCCCCGCACCCGGAGAAGGTGAAGGCGGCTCAGGCGCAGGTGGCCACCTTGGAGCACGTGGCGGAGGTGCGATGGCTGGGGAAGCCACGTTTAGTGTGTTGTTCTAGGGGGGGGAAGGCGGGGGGCGAAAGAAGAGGGAAACCTTTTTCTCGGTTGGATTTGCCTGGGTCAAGAGTGGTCCATCATATATTTTTGCCCTTGACTAAAAAGATGGTAGTAAAGATGACAGTGTAGGCTGAAGCTTGAACAACGCCAAGTTGGGGCCCCCCAAGCGACAACTCCTGGTGAAGGTTTTTCGGGGGACCCAATTCCTATTTTCAACTTTGAAATTACTGTAGAATTTTGCCAGATGGTTGTACAAACTTACATTTGGGTTGCCATTTTGTGTGAAGTGACACTAAGGGAATCCTTTTTTAGTAGTTACTGGGATTGCCCACTTATCACGGAAAGGCATGGAGGTGCGCAAGGGTTCTTTCCGTTTTTCCTGGAAAGGTGGGGAGTTTGCCGGTGCCATGGACACAAGTCCATTTTGCAGGCCGCCCTCCAAAAACATCCTGAAAGCATGTGTTCGAAACAGTCCTCAGCCTGAGTGTCTAGACAGTTTCACCCTTGGGATTTGCTGTAGAGGGAAGTGCGTTGCGGGCCCTTGGAATCATTGTATGGCCATGACCTTTGAAAGGTCGTTTTTTCCTCCTCTGAATGGTACAACATTCGGGCGGGGAACGAACGCACCGACTGAACACATCTTGGTAGAGAGGGTATCAACATGCACTACGTTGCCACAGAACCTAGGTTTCCTTGTAGAGGAAGACGGCCTTGCAGAGCACGCCAAATCGGGCTCCATATTGTTTGGCAGCCGGGTAGAAGACTTCGGCCTGATTTTTAACCAAACGGGGGTCAACAGGTACACGCCGGATGATAGCCGAGCTCTCTCAAGTTGTCGGAAGGTTGCCAGCAAACCCTTAATGTTGACCCCGTATTAGTCTGTACCCGCCCCCCCCCCCCCCCTTGAAGGTCAGAAGGTTTTGGGGGCAAAATTTTGGAAGGTTTTTTTGCCTCCCCCCCTAAATAATCTGGAATTGAGTTTCCATTTGATTTAGTATTGCTGGAGCTTCCTTTTGAGATCTGGAATTGAGTTTCCATTTGATTCAGTATTGGTGGAGCTTTTTTTTTGAGATCTGCAATTGCGTTTCCATTTCTTGTGAGATCTGGAACTGAGTTTCCATTTGATTTAGTATTGCTGGAGCTTCCTTTTGAGATCTGGAGTTGGGTTTCCATTTGATTTAGCATTGCGGGCTTCCTTTTGAGATCTGGAATTGAGTTTCCATTTGATTTAGCATTGCGGGCTTCCTTTTGAGATCTGTCAGGTTTGCATGGCCACCCCAATGGGATTCCTTGAAATTTGATGAGGTTTCCATTGAGAATGAGTGACTTTTCCATCAAGTTTGCCCCAATGGGATTCCATGAAATTCGATGAGGTTTCCATTGAGTGACTTTTCCATCAGGTTTGCATGGCCACCCCAATGGATTCCATGAAGTTTGATGTGGTATCTAAGAAATGAGCTCAAGAAGCAGTGGAGAAAATGAGCTAGCAGCAGCCATCTGGGCGAGGACCGGGTTAATTGTTTTGCTAATCTTTTTGTTATTTGGGGGGTAATTTTTCTGAGCTATGAATTGTTTAGTATTGGGGGGTGTCACCCGGACCGGACTAATATGGGGGGGATTTCTAGTACAACGTCAGCATTGCAATTTCCTGCATTTCTCCGAAGTATGGGTGGGTGGTCCCGTCCAAATCGGCTCCGCGGTTCGCAGGCATTCCTGTTTTTTCCTTTGCGCAAAACACGAATTTGCCCAAATCCTTATGTCAAAGAGCTATTCCTCGACCAGATTTACATCCCCAGAAAGGTAATTGTTCCATCACGTCCTTATCCGGTCTATGGATCACATCCCTAGAAAAGAGGCCGGGGCATGGAAAGCACAAAATCAAAAAGGTCCAGGACCATGTGTGCAAGAGCCCGACGGCCAAAAGTCCGTGATGCGGTCGCTGCAATCCTTTCACAGCCCCAGTCTTATGCTCATATACCCAAACAGTGCTCATTCCGGGAGAGCCATTAGGGATGCCCGACTTCTAGACAGGTTTTCAGAACCCTTTCGTCCAACCCCTTCCGAGAAGGTTCTGGGAACCTTCCGCAAGGGTACAGTTCCACAAACCTTTCTTTGCGGGTGTGGGAGGCTTTCATTATTTCTGTTAGGCAATTTTCGCTTCATATCAAAGTCAGTTTTGGGGAACACTCAACCAACACTGGGATCCACACCTGAGCCGCCATCAAAACCCGGGTAGACGAAGCTTAGTAAGGGACAGTCCCAGCCATAAATAGCTGCGGCCGCCTTTGTATTTCCTTACATGGTTCTGGGTTCACTATTTTTGTACCGGGTTTTGATTCCGACTCACTTGGCGATAGGCACTCCAGGCACCGACCTTGCTTTCGTTGTGTTTTTATCCCGTGGTTTTTTCCCCCTCTTCGCTGCATTGCGTTTTTGGGTTGTCTCTGTTTCGTTTTTTGTTTTTTCCCCCCTCTGCACTGCATTGCGTTTTTTTTCTCCTGCTTCCAGGGCATGCAGAAGAAGAAGCTGGACTTGCTGCTCCAGAGGGTGTCCGCTCTGGAGGCCAAGCTCACCTCCTTCTGGACGGGCCCCGGCTACGCCACCCCCGCCGTCCCGCCGGCGCCAGCGACGCCGCCGCCTGCGGCGCCGCCCGCGGCTGCGGTTCCTTCGGCAGCGCCTTCCGCGGCGCCGGTGCGGAGCGGCCCGCCGGGGCTGGATGTCTACGCCCCCGCCAACGAGGGCGAGGATGAGGACCAAGAAATAGCTGGAGCCACGAAGGGTTGCCCTTTTTTGGGGCGGGAGTATCTCTTCTCAAAGGTTTGGTGTTCATCATTTAGTGGATTTTGTAAGTTTCCGTCGCGTGCCGTCATGTTTCTATAAATAGACATTGGTGAAATGGGCAGTTGGGATGTGTCAAAGCCAGTTTGGCCCTTGTCTTAGCTCGGACCAAATGAGGTTCAGCAAGCAAAGTTTCTGTTCTGAGTGTACGATTGATAGGGAGAGGCACTAAGATGAAGACCTAGTGGGAAGGACCCAGAAGGCAAAAGGCACCTCCCATCCATTTTTTCAATCACCCGCGCGTGCGGCTGCATTGCCCAACTACTGAAGTCCAGACGGTCTCAGAGGGATGAACCTTTGCGCAAACCGACGTGCACCTCTTGGCCAAACAAGGAAAGGGCGCCGATGGCCCCCCTTTCCAAAAGGAGAAAGTCGTCTTCAAGTGATTCATTTGCTTGGTGCACTAAGCCGTGTCGTTGGAAGGGAGGCTTGGCCGCAGTGTAGGACGAAGACGAACTGCAGGCTGTGATCGGAAAGGCGTTAGCAGCCGCCACCCGAGTTGGCAATTGAAGCGCGAGCCATGTTTGCGGGTTTCCTGTATTTCCCCTTTTGGTGGTGCTAAGTCTCAACCTTGGGGCCAATTTGTGTTCTGAGATTGCTGGTGAGATGATTAAAGGGGAAATCTCGGGAAGCCTGTGGTTTTGAAGCAAGAGTTATATACTTGGCTTGCTCGCGTCACATGGGCCAAGGATGAAACACGGCTTTGTGCCTGGAACCCTGGGGGGTCTTGTGAGGCCCCTTGGGCATGTTTCAATGGACGGTTTCCCAAGCTGGCATGTGAGATGTTGCTCGCTGCTCACAGCTAACTTTTGACTCAGACACTGCGAGCTTCAAGAATTTGTCGCGTTTTAGCAACAGACGGCCGTTGCATTGCGATGGGAAAACAGTTGCAGCATGGCCGTGCGCTGGTCACTGGCCCACTGCCATGGTCAGAAGGGTTCCTAACTGAACCATGGAGAACATTTGGGGAGGCCATGTTTCATATTCATTTCATGGTTGGAGCTTTCAAACATGGTGAACATAACTTCCAATGTTATGAATGCTAGTCATTACAGGGCTGCTACCCTAGGCATACACAGTTGTGACATGGTCAGAAGGCCATTCCTACCGAGCCATTTCCATTTGAGACTCTTGAGTTCGTTTGGACAGACCACCTCCAGGTAGGTGCCCATGTTTGCCATGGTCAAAAGACCTGGAGCTGGTGGGGATTGTCCATCTACCGGTCCATTTCCTTCCGAGATTCGCATGTTGAAACTGTTGTCATCCATCCCTTCGGGATTCATATGAAGGCTTCCTAAGGGAAACCCACTTAAACAGGGTCCCTCAAAAAAACAAACGGTCCATTCAAACATACACTGTTGCCGGCTAATTTGGAGGATCCCCTTGTGAAGCAGGTGGTCTTTGGATTTATCCGTTCTGGGCTGTTAAAAAGGCAAACCTCAATCCTTACAATGGTCTGCTTTGCAGAGGGCGTCCAATCGAATTTGTGGAGAATCGGGTTGGCATTCCAACACTCCATTTTAAACAGCCCAGCCTTCTACTGGAAACTCTGTCAAAGCTCATTTGTACTATATCTCGATTACTTTCCACATATAAATATACTTTAGTTGAGCCAGCAATAAAGCCCAATAGCAATAGGACCGGCCCTTGTTTTCTGCCACACAATGTTTGCCACGATCAAAACACGCTACTTGGGAAACATATATTGAACATACCAGCAGGGCGGTTGCAGTGCTCAGCCATTTTTTGGGTATGGAGAAGCCACCCTTGGGTGTTTGGAAAATTTGTTTACGTAAGGATGTGACATGAAAGATTGTGTTCCGGAGGCTTTCCTGGCCGCCGCCGCCGGGCACTCAAAGGCTCAGTTGAGAAGCTGAGGGGTTAAGGGGAAAAGCGATGCCGAAGCAAGCGACCAGCCAACCCCTCTGACCAACCAACCCTCCGTTTGTTTAACTTGGTTTGGAGAGGATGGGCCCTTAAAACTAAGTGCCAGAACAAGAATGGCCTTTTTGGTTCCGCGGCCACTGGGGGTTTGGGAAAACCAATGATGATGTGGGAAAGTGCACCGACCAAGCCAACAATGGGGGCCAACCACCGCCAACCAAAGGGAGTCCATGTTCAATGTTTAGATATGAACATGTTTGGGCAAATTAATACCAGTCGACCTCACGGGTTTTGGCTACCGAAAACCTGCGAGCCTGTTCCAGTGAAATTGTCACTGCAGAAACTTTGCTTCAGAGGCCCCTGGTGTTTTTTTGTCCCCACAGCGGGTTGATAAAAAAAAAAGCTTGTGACGGATGCAATTGTGCCTCGCAGGTTCCGATGCAAGGGACAATCAAATCAAGCGGAGTGCATTCCAAACCGTTGGGTTGTTGGTACCTGCACCCTGTGCTGGGGCATGGAAGCCGGCCACTCTAAACAAGCCTTGAGGCATTACTTGCTATACTGGAATCTCATGGTTCTTCGGGTTTTTGAGCGTCATTCTCATGTTTCCTCACCAATGAGCCGGCCAACGAAGGAACCGTCGCGATTCCTGAGTTTCAGTTGAACCACGGAGGTTGGGAACTGAACCGACAGATGGCCACTAGGCCAAGCTGCCGCTCTCCCAGGCAGGGCTGCGACTCTGTTTGCTCATGGCTTGACTGCTATTGGGTTGGATCTTTAGAATGAAGGGGTTTGCCACTAAACCCACAGAAAGTGATTCACTTTTTCCAAAGATGGCCATCCGGAGCGTTTTCGCTCGGGACGGTTTGTTCACAGCTCCGAAAGCTTGCCCTGTTGCCCAAACCTCAGGCAGGTGAGGTAGTCAGAGGTTGGAAGCACTCGTCCTGTGGGCGCCAGAAGGCGTGTTTTTTTTGCGCTTGCCATGCCTTGCACCAAGTTTGGACTGTATACACAACGGGCTGTGGTCCCAACCTCCGGCAAAGAACCGCAGAAACAAGCAGAAACTACACAAAGATGGTTTTCCGAACGATCGTCACAGTCCCCACCCACATCCTTTAGTTCGGGGCGTCAATGGCATTTTACGCCCTCCACATGCGCTTTGCGAACCTCTCCAAGCAAGCTTACAGCTTGGGATGCCACACATTTCCGTTGACCTATTCGAGCATATCGGGGCGTGGGCGTGATTGTTCTGGGGGTGGCGATCTGTGTGGCGAACGGAGGCGAGTCTACGTGAGAGGCCCATCCAATTTGTTGGAGCGTTAGGGTTACCCCAGCATTCATGAACCTTATATGGGTATGCGTCACAGCCAGGGACCTGTTTTGGAGCCTTTTGCGAGGCAGCCTAGAGGGTTACCTTCAACTTCTGGTTGCCGAGATGCGTGCGTTTTCTTTTGAGGGGAGCCCTTAAATCCGGCTCCCAGTTTCCATATTGGTACCCCTAAACTGCTCAAACAGTGATCCGCGACCCGTTCCTTAGGTGGCTGGTGGCTCCACCGGCCCCATTTCCGAACCTTGAGCAGTCTTTTCAAAATATCCAAGCCGAGTTCCAATGCCAAAACCAGCCCGTGTTTGATACATCGGGGTCAAGCTTCACATCCGAGTGGCACGCCCAGAGGCTGAATCGAGTCCACCGGAGGCGCAAACAAAACTTGGGGGGGGGCGCGCTTCCACCAAAACACTCGGCCCTTTCCCCAAGGGGTCCTTTCTTGGTTAACATGACTGGGTTGGCCCGTTCCCCCCACATCAAAAGTCCCAGGTTCCTTTTTTGGCGCAAAGACGAAAGTGAACAGGACCTTTTTGGCCCATGTAAAAGACGTGACTTTGGGGTGCTGGCCATGGGAGAGATTTTCGGTCACCGGGGCTGTCTCCGAACCTCGAGCTTTCGGTCACGTCACTGAAGCCGAAGCCCCAAGCTTGTCGTGGGTGTGTTTCCCCCCGCCCCCCCCCCCCCGGAAACTGTGCTAGAGGTAGGGTTTCAGGTGCTTCAGAAGAAAAAAAGAACAACAAAAACAGCCAAAGAGGATGCCCACACAATGCAGAGTTTTCGCTTATGGGTTGTTTGGAGGTTCCGTATATGATCGAATTGCCTCATTGCCTCTACCCAACAGTGAGGTCTTCATCCCTTTGTGTCCATGAAGGTAGACATGTTCTCCTATCATTTAGGTGCACTTCATTTTGTTGGGCCTGTGGGCAGCTGAATTTGCCCGCTTCAAGGCTGATGAGAGGGTTGCAACTTGGACCCACGCCTTTGCTTTTCAAGGAGTTCGAGCTTCCACCTTTCACACAACTATCTCCCCGCTTCATGTCGATTTTGAGGGGGTTACAACTTGGACCCAGGCCTTTGGTTTTTTTGAAAGCGTTCGAGCTTTACAACTCGTTGCGGAACGACTGTTGCCTCACCGCAAGGCCCAAACTGGAGATGGGGGCCCCAACCCCAGGCCGGGGGCAATAACCAAAGTTCTAAGGCGCTCGACGGCCTGGATTAGACGCAGCGGAGCGCTTTCCATTCCGAGCGGGAAAATGGCCGTCTCGTGGGGGAAGCCAGTGATTTTCCAGAAGATGCAGTGGTTAAGCTTGTACTTTTCGGCCTAGCGGGGTCTAGTCAAATTGTATTGGTTTGCAGATGTCGATGCTTTACATTTTGGAGGGGCAACGACATCATCCATCATGATGAGTCCTTGCATGGGGCCTCCTGAAATTTCTATCTCAAGACCTCAGTTGGAATTGCAGATTGGTGTCCAAACTTCAATGATGGGTTGATGGATCCGTTTTGTCAGCTGGACGGTCACGGTCAGCACGACTTGTGTTGCACTGGTGCGTCTGGCTCATGAGGGGTTGAGCTTTTGACTTTTTGGCACTCGCCTGGGCATTTGGAATATGATTCCTGCTGCGAGAGAGGTACTTCCCACTTTCCTGGAAGCTTTGGGAGCTGCCTTGTAGATCAATAATCGGCCTTCTTGTCAGCTTCAATGTCAGTGGGAAGGGGTAGCAGTCTTGAGATCTGGCAGTCATGGAGCCAAATGCGTTGTTTGCACTGCGTTTTCTATGGTGCGTGCCGGAGCAGGTTCTGGGCAGCTGAACGGGCGGCACTGATATTTTCAATCATATTGTAACTAGTAGGGAACAAGGGACTCGCTGCAACGTGCCGCACATTTCCCGTGGCTTTGTGTGCTTGCATTGGGTCGTATATGTGGGAATTCCAGCGTACTTTCCGCATATATCAACGCCTTTCCTTTTTGCTTCATCACGCCCCGAGTGAGGGAACGTAATCCTGGAATGCTTGTGCGCGGCAAGTAGATGGCTCAGTTCCCAAATGACGGCGCAACAACACAAATACCGGCGGCCAGCAGCTTCAAGCGTCAGGGCAGATGGGAATGGCACTTGTTGCTTCAGTTCCTCATCCTGAAACGTGCAGATTCTCAGCGAAGCCCAAGTTCCAGCAAACTGGCTATGTCTGTTTAGTGAATAGGCAACCCTTCAAAGGTGGTGAGACAAGAGTTATTTAGCTGATTATGCATTGTCCTATTGATTTGTCTACATTACATGTCTAAACATATTCTTTGATCAATGCATGTCTTTGAAAGTAAGGCAAACTATCATTTGCTCAAAGAGCACAA